ACAGTCTTTTAGGCTGTTCTCTCAAGTTTATTTTTACAGATTGTTTTTTTTTCTATGGAAAATGATGACACAACATGATAAGGATAAACAAAAGTCAAATAGATCATAATGGTGTGCTGAGAACATTCACCATTAGAAACAATAAAACCAGTATATCACACGTTGAAAAATATTTTTGAACAATTTTCTATTCTTAGTCTAGAATTTTACTTTTTTTTATCAGATTGAATAAAATGACTCGATTCATTTTTATCCGACAGACAATGAACTGTTAGTTTATTGCACAATCGGAAGTTCTGCCGTTATATTGTATCGTTACTATACCGTTGTTCGCTCAAATATTAGCGAAAATTAGCTTTGCTTAGAATCACAGACTATATAGATGATTTCACATACAAAAAATGAGCATGTTTATTGTGAGTACAGACAGTTCAACTCATTTTGAATGATAATTATCGTGATCATAAAAAATTTTTCAATTGTAATTAAATATTATTAAAAATAATCATAATTATCTGCATAGTAATAGGTACCGTAGTGTAGAAAAGTGTGAATTTTCTCATGTGAAAAACAATTTCTATTCTTGAAAGACGATATGTTATGTTTGACATATATTAGGAAAAACAAATATAACCTGATTTGATGAGCAGAAAATGGCAATTTTTTCCTCTAATAATCGGCCTAACTGTCAACCATTTTGTTTATAATGAGTTTTAGATTAAGTCGTTTTTGTTTTTTATGAAAAATAATATGTTTTCTTGAAATGTACCTGATAACTTATGTCAAAACACATTGCAACGATTTATTTTAATACTTTTCTCTTATATAGCTAGAATTTTTAATTTAAAATTCTTTTTCTTTTGTATTTTTGTCAATGTTATTTTTATAAACAGATGTATGTTAGTATTAGACAAAAACCATAGTGAAACATAGAACTTTCAGTAATGTATCCCATTATTTTATATAACTTTCTATCATTTCTATTTTATATCAAAATGAAGTAAAGCAACGTTATTTCTTTTTGTTTGATTATTGAAGTCATATAAATAAAGGAAAAAAATGATGTATACTTCATATATATATATATGTATGTCTAGGGGCAATTTTCCGTTCTTTCATTTATCATATTTAAAAATGACAGAAAGGTCGCAAAAAGCACACATTATATAATTAATGGATATTTGGTCAGTGTCCGACATGATTGAATAAAATTACACTATCGATTATATGAGAGAGCGCGTTATGATATGAGCGAAGATTATTTTTTAAGAAAATTGGTTTAAAATTATCAAATGATTTACTGATTTTTTCAAATGATTTAATGATTTTACTTTCATAACATCTTCTTTATCTATCTTTAAACACCTGTTGGTTATAAACTCATCTATCCTATTATAGAGATCTATGCGTAATGATTAGTAGTGAAAAATTTCATCTCTATATAAATTGGACACATAATCTTAATGGTAATATTCGACACCATGCTGGAAGCGTCGGCTTATTTTTTGAAAGAATTTCAGAGATAATTTTTAAATAAAACTAAATAACTCACGACGTGTTACATCAACGCTTACACATGTATTAGTTCTAATAGGTCGATTTTAATCAGTAAGCAGTCACTTAGCCAAACTAATTCTTTTGAATATTTTTCTCACTGAATTCCAAACAAATTTTCGATCAGTAGACACACGACTATCATCGGTTGTTGTCGAAGTCTATTCATTGATATATGCCTTTCCTTTATTGTGTGAAATTTTGCACTTTAAAACTGACTATTGTCGGGAAAAAAAGAGGAATAAACTCGAATGCTTTCATCTAATATTAAGAAATTCACAACTCACTCAAAAACCAACAGAGCGGGCTCAAAACTTCAGGATATAGAGTATTTATGCTAGACTATATCGTCGTTATAAGAAATCTAGAAAACAAGTTTACAAAACTCGATAGTTTTACGAAAGAATTTCTGAAAAACTTTTGAGCAAAGATATATTTTTGGACTTTTTCGTTGATATAATCACGTTTACCAGACAAATTTAGTCATATCCTGAAGTTTTGAGCCCGTTCTGTTGGTTTTTGAGTAAGTTGTGAATTTCTTAATATTAGATGAAAACAACGTGGAAACCCCAGTTTTTCTAAAACTCAGTTCTCACTAGACTTTTGAGCTCTTTCCGGAAAACAAACATTGCTACGAGCGTCAGCGTAGTCGATCACCTATGTTCCATGCGATCTTAATGTTATCCCAAGTCACTGGATAGTAGTCCTGAGACTCCAGTACTCTCGCATTTTAAGGGAACACTGTAGACTACCTACCCATGGAAAAACACTAAAATATTTTTATTTTCAAGCTTTTTAGTAATAACATGGTTTTTGTAAAGATCTTCCGAAAATCTACTTTGGAAGAACCATAAATGGCTATTCTATTCATGCAAATACCCATGCAAAGAATATCCTTCCTTCTCTATGAAGTTCTGTTTCCTTTCTCTTCAAGCCTGAAACTAACTTTGTCAGTGTATAATTCCAGTCTCCGTGCATGATAAGTAAAATTGTTCTGTCATTTAGTGAAGCCATGATTAAAAGGGTACATTAACCACCCACCACCATCTGTCTTGTCAGCATTGTGTTATAGCGATATTAGTCTTCTTTTCTATTTCACTAGCTTTTCTAGCACTAAACACATGGATAAGTATTTCTTTAGAAATACAACTGCATATCTCATTTTATAGCATTAGTTTTAGTCAGCTGCCATGAATAGCTATATATCTTTTAACTTGGAGATCGAGGCACCCTGATGTTTCACACTTTCGGTAATAGTTTACTGTTTACTTCGATGACTGTGTTCATCTGAAATATTCTGCTAAACTGGCAACCCAATCTCAATGTTATTAGGTTCCTTACAGTAATATATATTCAAAAGACAATTCTTTTTGGTAATGGGTAATGATTTGAACAAGAAGATTATTGCGATAACAGCAGCTTTAAACATGATACATGTATCTCAATATTAATGTCAATGTTTCGCTGTTTCAAACAGCATTTTCAAGACATAGTATGAAAATGAGTCTGCAAAGACTCTTTTAACCCTTTGAGGCCGGGTAGCTGTGAAAATAGAGAGAATGTTTTTTCAATGCTTATTTTATTAGTAGACGTCATGTAAGTATAAAAAAGTTACAAAGAATTTTGGATATGTATTAGTAGTATAGGAAAAAAATTTTAAAAAGATGTTAATTTTCATAGCATTTCTCACACATATTTCAATAATTAGTCAATGTGTGGTAATTTTTGAAGCAGTTTGCAGCGCAGAGTGTTACTTGGCACACATCGCATTTGAAATTAGGACGAGAATCTTTTTTTGCTTCTCTTGTTGTGTTTCTACAAACATGACATCTTGACCTTGAGCGTTCTTCAGTTGATATAAACACTGGAAAATGTCTACCAGTCAACTGCGTAGGATTTTCAGGTGACGATGAATGCCCTCGCGATGAAACCTGTGATCCATATTTTTCAAAAATAGCTGAAACAACTTTCAATGATTTCCTTGTGCTCTCTGAGAAACTGTTCTGCATGTCAGTTTGGTCCACAACTCCCATATTCATGTTATAATCTAAGATGCAAGCAGGTTTCCGGATTTCATTTCCATCTATATGAGATATTCCAATAACTTCCATATTTGGTTCATGAATGGTCAATAACATGAAGACGCTTCTTTTGTCTTCCCAACGAAGAGCCATCATAATTCTTGTATGTTTGAAAATTTGCTGACCTCTTTGTAAACGGCCACTCAAATCTGGAAACCTTCTTCTATTTTTTCGCACTGTACTGCAGCAGTTTGTTTTCTTTTCATGTAGCGTTTTGAAGAGTGATGGACTTGAATACCAATTATCCAAATAAAGATTATGTCCTTTATCTAAAAATGGCTGCATAAGCTGCACAACAACACTGCCAGAAAATCCAAGGTTTTCAAAACATCTGCTGCAAAAAAATGTCTTTCGACATTACGTTCATTACATATTCACTAGAGAAATCTTCTATACAGAACAAAAAAAAATACTCACGATACCGGTACGTTTATATCGAGACTGTTCGAGACTAAAGTTTCGAGTAATTTGTCTCGATGCACGTAATGTCGAAAGACATTTTTTTGCAGCAGATGTTTTGTATAGTAACTTTTTTGATACTTTTAATCGCTGAAAGTGAAAACTTTATGTAGCGTATAAAGTTAGTTAACTAAGTCTTACTTATTTTGATTTTCTCAGAATAATTTAGTTAAAATGTAATGAAAGAGCATATCACTATCGTTGTTATTATTGGGATTAGTATAGAATTGTTGAGCAGTTTGCAGTAAATAAAAAGACCGAGTCTTATATTGTATAGAAAATGCGTTGGATTTTCTGAAATATCGATTTTGTAGAGAGGAGAATATCTTTAAGAATTTTCTATAAAAATTTCTGCTATTGCCCGATTTTCTATAAAATCGGCCACTTTCTGAACAATTAACAATTTTCTAGAAAATGGCATCTTGTTTTTCATGTAAAATCAAAAATATCGTTTCTTGTTAGAAAAAAAAGAAAATAAATAATAGGAACAAAAACGAATTGATCTGCTTCGGCCCTTGCTTTCTCGGATAGAGAAGCCGACATACTTTGAAACTTGCATGCATTCTTCTCTTTTCTGAAAAGTACGACCTTATGGGAGTTATCTTCATCGCATTCAGTTTTACTCCAATTCATCTCTATATGCAAAATGACACATAAACACAGCGACTGAAGAAAAGTCTTTTTCCACCCATCTTATTAGAATCAGAAAAATTTCTGCTACACAAAACAGGTTGCTCGATTTTCTCAGCGGATGAGAAAGTTCTGTACAAGTAATAAGAGCAGCTACAGAAAAAATCTCAGTCATATCGAGACTCCAAACTGCAGTATCGAAGCTTCTCGTCTCAGTATATGCTTAGAAGAGCCAGAATAAATGGGACAAAATCATTCGCTTTTTTACGCACTTAAATGCACTTTGAAGACTCCATTCTAGACGCCATCGATAGAGAATTGTTCGCTCTACAAAATTCATTATCATCTCTTATTAGATGTTATTTCAAAATAAGGACAGGCAAGCAGCACAATATATCATCTGAAGGGGCAAAAGCAATTGCAGAAGCCTTGAAAACAAACCAAACATTAACAACTCTTGATATTGGGTACAACAATATATCATCTGAAGAAGCAAAAGCAATTGCAGAAGCCTTGAAAACAAACCAAACATTAACAACTCTTTCTGTTGATGCCCACAGTATATCATCTGAAGGGGCAAAAGCAATTGCAGAAGCCTTGAAAACAAACCAAACATTAACAACTCTTAACGTTGGTATCAACAATATATCATCCGAAGGGGCAAAAGCAATTGCAGAAGCCTTGAAAACAAACCAAACATTAACAACTCTTTCTGTTGATGCCAACAGTATAACATCTGAAGGGGCAAAAGCAATTGCAGAAGCCTTGAAAACAAACCAAACATTAACAACTCTTTAAGTTGGGGGCAACAATATATGCTCTGG